ACCAGCTCCCCCCGCCCCGCACTCTCAGCCCCGTCCCAGCACTGCCAAAGAACGGCGAGAGAGCCGCCCCCCGCCCCGCAACGAAGATTTTATCGCTGCCGCCGACGTCCCCGCAGAGGACGATCTGACCCAAGCACCGCAAATCGGCACCTGGAGCCAAGCATCGCACCGCACACCAGCAGACGTCCGCTGGACCCGCCAGGCCCGACCGTGGTATCGAGATCGCCACGGTCGGGCCTGCTGCGCAATTCAATGCGACTCCTCGCACAGCTCCGGCGATTGCTTGCCATGTGGCAAACCATTCCGCCTCGCACAGCCTCTGGCAACAGAGATGCATAATAAGCACCGCTGCTCGATTTGCAAGAGCAAAGAAGAGAGGGAAGAGCAGTGAGCTCCCCTCCCGCACTCGCACAGCACCGCATTGCAAAAAGTACGGCCGCAGCCCGCCCCGCCTGTTTCCTGCATTTTTGCTGCCTTAGGGTTCTTCCTATGCTTCCTGCGCTTGCTCAGGTCCATCTTCACGCTGATCCAGGCACGTTCTTGCAGCGCCTCTGCTCAGCACAGTTTTCTGGACGCTCGCTATGCTCCCGCTTTTTCTGGCTTGTCAGGATTTGCCTCGGCATCCAGTGCCCCGCTTTGCTGCACTTGCACGCCGCTTCTGTTAGCCCGCACTTCTCTCGTTGCCTTTTCTGCTTAGCCTGCATTCAGGTTGCTCCAGCCGGCTTCTTGCTCAAGGCAGGTCCCGCTCATATCTTGTTCGGGGCCTCTGTGTCCTTTGGTCTGCCTCGGCCCCGCTTGCACCTATGCGCCAGCGATGGAAACGAAAATTCGGCTCCCTCGAGGACCCTGCACCTTGCACTGCACCACCGCCTTCAGCAATGCAAACCCAGCCAAGCATGGCAATAACCCCACACGCCTCGGGGTCGGACGATGAACCGTCGCACCTGCCTGTGTTCTTAGGTTTCTTTGAAGTTGGCGATTCAGCCTCAGAGGACGATTTTAGCTCGCCAGGCACACCTGCATCGCAATCAGCTCTGCCGTTTTGTCTCGCTAGGACCTTAAGCCCTCTGCCCGAACCTACTTTGCCGGATACCCCTGCCTCGGCATGAACACCTGCACGCAATGCAAACGCCTCCTTCACCTGCCCCAGCAAATACCTCCAGCTCAGATGCCTTGCAACAACATCTTGATTCTTTGCTGGACGATCCAATCGAGCACTTTTCAGCTGATGATCCTATCTCCGGCTTCTCGGACGACGAAGAAGCCATGCTGGTGGAACGCGCTGCCCGCAATGCCCCGCCCAGCCCCGATTCCGCCAGCGCATCAGAGATGGACTCAGACGACGTCGCTGCAATCCCGCCTCCCTTGCCTCTCTGCACAGAAAATGCTCTGTTCGCATGCAATGGCCCGTGGGCTTGCTGGCACAGCCTTCTCACCAACGACACCGGAGACGGCACTCTGCGGCCGGCCTGCGGCACCCGTTTGGGTTTGGGGTCTCTTACCAGTGCAGCCCCTCAGGGCCCTTTCTGCAGACGCAAAGCATGCGTCGCCCTGCGACTCGCAGCCTCGCACACCTGACCTCAGCCGCCTGCTGCCAAAAGCGCCTCTGCTTTCGCCCTTTGCCCCGACCCTTTTCCCCTGCCCCTCTTCCTTTTTTTTCCGGGTTGCCTTCCCCTTTGCCCCCTGTCAGGTACTGGCTGCTCGTCGACATCGTGCTGTTCAAAGCCTACGCGGCTCGCTGCCTGCCTTGCCTCTCTCTCTGCACTTCGGCCTAGCTCGCAGCTATGTTCCTCTGCACTTCCCAGTCTTTTGGCTCGAATCTACTTAATCTACTTCACTCGTCTTCAGCACTCCCGCTCCTCCATGGCAGCGGATCTTTCTTTCGACGATGCACCGCATGTGCCGGCAAGCGCCCTTGCCCAACTGCTCCAATCATGCCAAGTTCCGGACTCGCTGTCCACTGCCCTGCACAGCACCGGCATTGAATCCGTGTCGGATTTCGCATATGCCTTTTCAGAAACAGCCGATCTGGATCATTTCTGCGGCGACGACTTTGCGCATATCTGGCTGGAGCTAGATGCACCTGTTCCCCGCATCTCCCCTGCCATGGCTCGCCTCCGCAGGCTAAAGCCGCTTCAGCACCAACGCCGCCCCAATCGCAACCAGCACAGCAAGCCTTTGCACCCGTCGCCCCTAGCCCCGCAAACTCTTGGGCAGAACACGCCCCGCCCCGCCTTGATCAATCTGCCGTGCAACGCCTGGTGCAAGCCTTTAAGGACGCCTTTCCCGGCGAACACCTCGACAGCGACGCCATGCCAAGCATTCGTCTGCTCAGCCTGGTCCATCGGTGGTTTCAACCGGGACACACTATCACCTGGATCCCATGGCAGCTCCGCTTGTCTGCAAAGCAGTATGATGAAATCATACAGAGCAAGGCCACCAAGCAAATCCGCACTGAAGCGCATCTCATCAGCACCGCATTTTTCGACGACACGCCCGAAATGGCTGTCGATCACCTTCGCCTCAGCTCCGCCTGGTTGCAACGCGTGCAAACTGTATTTCGCAACGCCATCGCAATATGCAACGGAGCGCACCTGCAGCGCTTGAAGGCGTTTGACAAAAAGGTTCTCGACCTCGCAACGCAAACCGTTGCTCCAGACTTGCATTTACGCACCGTTACCACGCAAGAGCTTCTCGTAGCCGATCGAAAGATCTGGCAAGAGATTGCCGCACTGCACAGCTCCGGGTGGTCCCTGGATGACGCCTTGCATGAAATCACTAGTGTCCGTTCGGACATCAGTTCCCTACTGCAACTTCGTGCCAAGCCCATGCCACCCGCACCGCCCCTCCGCCCCACCAGGGAAGACTGCATCCGCGGTAAAGGCGGCAAAGCAAACGGCAAAGGTGTGCGCCAGCCCGGCAAGCAGCCCCGCACTCCCAACTCAGGCAACCAGCAAACCGCACCGCTCGCCACCAAACTTGGCGACAAGACTCTCTGCATCCGCTTCAACAAGGGCAATTGCACGAACAAGAACTGCAAGTTTGAACACAAGTGCGCGTTTAAACTGCCCTCCGGCCAGCCTTGCGGCAAAAATCATGCAGCGTGCAACCACAAAGTGGAAAAGCCCAGCCCGTCTTGAGACCCGCAGGAGATCGCATCCGGGAGCAATCTCTTGCCCGCAGCCCGGAACAAGCGCAGCCCTTCGCCTCTCTCGCTCTCCTGCGCATCCTGCTCAGCCTCCCCCTGCACCTCACCTAGTGGTTCTAGGTCCCGCAGCCCCCCTAAAGCCCAGGTTGCTAAGCCGCCCTGCCCTGCCTCGCCTGCCTTAGCTCCTAATCCTGCCCAGCCTTCCCCACAGCACAGCAACTCGTCCGCCAGTGATGCCTCAGAGTCTGCTGACAGCGACTCCGGGGCCCTTGCTCCAACCTCGGCTGCCTCCACTTGCGCCCCCCCAGCCCGCTATCTCCTTTTTTGGCCGCCGGACCTTTTCCAGGATGCCAAGCAAATCCATCAGTCCCTGCACAGATTCGCTTCTCCACCCGCATTGCAAACCTCGGAAGGTCATTGGCATCCGGACGTCCTAGCTTCCATGCAGGGAGCGGCTTGGTCTGGAACACTCGCAGTGCTATGCATTCTTGGCGACACCAGCTCCTACTCAGCATCTTTCCATCGCAGTCTCTGTGCCTTGCATCGCGCTGCCCACCTTCAAGGTGCACATGTCATTTTTGCATTCCCACAGCATTCTACGGAAGACATTTTCGACATGTACCTGCAACTTGCCCAAGAACTCGCAGCCACGTGCACATGGATGCGCTCGCCTCATCGCAGGCTCCTAGGGGTTAGCTGTTCCCTGCACAGCAAACTGCACTCAGACGGCATCCCGGATCTGCATTCCTTGGCCTCCCTCTGCACCACAGATGTGACGTCACAGTCGCCTTCTGCTCCATTGCCCCTGCACGCACTGCACAGCCTAGGAGCATCCACTTTCCACTGCAAACGCTCCCCTGTTTGCGATGGTGCGGGCAATGTCAGCTCCGCTGACCACATGCATTGCACCAATAAGCCCAGCACCCCTCTAGCCACGGTTGCGCAATCCATGCTGGAATATCTGCGTCAAGAACAACTCCTTAAGCCTATCCTTGCGCATCTGCACGCGGGTCTGCCAGAACCGCCCCTCTCGGAACAACATGGTTCCGTGCTTGCAGAAATCATTAGACTTCACCTTGCTCGGCATATGCCCGCAGCCGAAGCTCTGCGTATTGAACCAGGCCAGCCTTTTCGCCTCGAGATCCTTGAAATGCTCGCTCGCGCCATTGACGATCCTGACACCGGCCTTGTGTCAATTCTCAAAGAAGGCGTGCCCACTGGCGCTTTCTCACCGCTGCCGCCCAGCGGCCTCTGGCCTTCCGCCCCGCAAAACATTGATACGTCGTCCGATCTTGACCCGCACCGCCTTGAGCACTGCGCGGGAAATTGGACCGCCGCTGAACGCGACCCCACCTTGCTCCAGCAGCTGGTCGATCAAGAAATTTCTGCGGGACACGTTGCGCCTTTCCACGGCTCCGCAGAAGACGCTGCAAAGCACTGGCCGCTAGGCACCGCTATCGGCAAACTTAATATGGCGATTTCGCGCAGCGACTAAGTTGTCTTTTCTGTTTTCATAGCTGCCGGTCTAGCAGCGCAATGATTAATTATTTATCGTTTGTTATTGAATGTTTGAAGTGAGCTTTTGACTCACAACCATTTCCACAACGTTTCTTTGAAACCAATTTTGACATCAACTACAACTTCACTCAAACAACATGCTTTCTGACTACGCTTGTTGATTGAAGTTGAACCATATGTCGGTACCCGCGCCGCTCAACACAGCATGGCTCAGTGCACACATGCAGTCGAGTGACCATTGAGTCAACATCAGCATATACTGTGCAGAGCTTTGCTAAAATTTTCACCTCTCCACTCGTCCGGGGGGGGAGCTTTTACCCCGAAAGGGGGGTACATGGACTTGGCTCCTGGCCATAGCATCGAGGAGGCCGTTGAGCTTCTGCGAGCTGCAGACTTCCGTCTGTTCTGCATTGAGCGTCGTGTGTCCACTCTTGAAACGCAGATTTCTGAGCTGCGTGAAGTGCAAAGACGGCTTAACGCTACAGTGCTTCGTGTGGAGACGCTGGAACAAGACAACGCAGTAATCAAGCATTGCTTTTCTTCGACACAGCCAGGGGTCAGTCTTCGATCTGAAGTAGCATCTCTTAACAACGTGGTTACCCAGATTGTGGACTCAGTCAATCGCTTGGAGCCTGAGTTACAGCTTCTTTTGCGTTGGCGGGAGCGCTTCACTTCCGCTTTGCAGGCCGAGCTTCAGAACTTAGGTCACCAGCTTTGTGTGGTAGCATCGCAGCTCGAGGTCTCCCGCCTCGACGAACTAGACTAGTGTGTGATCAGTCATGACGAAACGAGGCCTTGATGATCTTGGCGATCTAATCTCGCATACACAATTGTGTGACTCCCGCTCCGGATGCATTCAGATGCCGTGGGATCTCGGGGTTTTTGGTCTAGTCTTTGGGTCCCCTAGGCCTCCTGCACCCTTGGTTCCCCTCCCAAGCCCACCGCCTCAGCTTGCTGCCGGTGTAAGTTCGGCGATACAGCAGGCTCCGCAAGATGCTTTGCCCTCGGCCACTCAGGCCTTTGCTCGGCAGCGGGCTCGTTTTGCTGCGCTGATTCGGTCGGATGATTCTGTGCGCTTTGAGGCTTTACGTAAGATTAAGACCTTGACTTTACTTGATCCTGCTGCCTCGGAGCTGGGGCGGCTTCTCATCGGCGAGGCCGCTATCTTGTCTGACCCTGAGAGACTTCAGAAGTCCTTTGCTGACACGTTCGCTACGAAGAGCACTGCAACATTGGCCAAACGAGCTTCCTCTTTCTGGAAGTTTGCCGAGTTTTGCTTGATGTTCGATTTTGGCTCGCCCTTTCGAGCGAGCGAGGCGGCTGTCTATGCATATATCCAGGACTTGCAGGCCCACGGAGCTCCTACATCGGCCAAGGCTTTTCTTGAAAGCTGGAATTTTCTGTCAGCGCTGCTGGGTTTCGCAAAACTTGCAGGCCAATCTCCTTTGTCAGGCCGTGTGCGAGGAGCTGCTGCCGCGTTGGCGGCCACTAAGAAGCCGCTGGTCCAAGCCTCACCATTGTCAGTTCCAATGATTCGGGCTCTGGAAAGGATTGTGGTGAAGCCTCCGTATCCTCATTGGCGTGTGATTGCTGGGCACATTCTTTTCTGTGTGGGAAGCTGTTCTCGCTTTTCGGATACAATCCACCTCAAATCTTTGGAGCTTCAGAGTGCGGGAACCGTGCATCTTTTGGAAGCATCGTCTGCATCTTACAAGACTGGTACTGGCGAACGGAAGACCATACTTCTGCCGCTGCTCTGCCTGGGATCTTTCGTGTACCCCACGATTTGGGCGCCGCTGTGGATGGAAGCCCGAACTGATGCTGGCCTCGGCCTCAATCCGTCACTGCCTGCATTCAGCGAAGCCTCGCAGTCTTGGTTGGAGCGTCGCATGTCTACTGGTGAGCTTACCATGTACCTGCGTGAGTTCCTCGTAGCCAGTCACATCGACATTCCTTCGGAGTCCCGCGTCAGCAGTCACAGTATGAAGGCCACTTTTCTTAGCTGGCTAGCCAAATTCGGAGGCGTTTCTTTGGAGGACCGCCGCATTGCAGGGCACCACTTGGACCCTGATTCCCGGTCCCCTCTGACCTACAGCCGTGACGAGCTGTGCCGCTTGATGAAGATTTTCGAGGATATCTTGAAAGCCATCCGTTCCGGCCACTTTAAGCCTGATGACAGTCGCGTGATGCGTTTAGCTGTCATGGTTCAGGCTGAGTCAGGTCCTCAGCTGCAGGAGAAACTCCTCGAGCAGGACCCATATGTCTCCGATTCCGAAGCTGGTGATTCCGACATCAGCCCAGAGGATCTGGAGGCCCGAGCCGGTGGAGTCCCCCTGGACGAAGGCTTGAACGCTGCTCAGATCTCTTCTGTATACAGCAAGATGCACATTTACAGTCGTACAGTGCATATACAGGCTGCTGAAGGTGCCAAATTTTTGTGTGGCCGACCCATCACCCGCAATTTTGACGAGCTGGACAAGGCCGTACCGGCCTCTGATCTGCTTGTTTGTAAGCGGTGCAGCCAAATCCACCGAGCCAGTTAAATAGCTGGCGCACGTATTGCTATTCTCGCAAAAGAAAGCCTCTTCAGCACGAGCAGCCGAAAGACCCAGGTAATCGGAGAAATTTCTCTCCCAGCCTGCAGTGGTCTCAAGGGTGGTGCCAAGCCGGGTCTATGAGCAACTACATCTGCGCTGGCGGTACTCGGGGCACCTTAACCCCAAGCCGTTGGACGCCTTGGAACAATGTTTTCTTACAAGCTGTTTTCTGCATCCCCGGTATCCGGCACCGTCCTGGGCGCTCCTTCTCGCTGTGTGGTGCATTGCGTAATCTGCGAACGTCTGGAGTCTTTACAGCTTTTGTCCACATGTATGCAGTTTTGTTCAAGCCGGCTGCCGTGTGAATCATGTCCAGCCTCGACAGCAAAGCGGCCTTCAAGGCCAGGGCACTCGAGCTCAACTTTACCGAGGAGACCCTGGCCAAATTGGCGGCCATCAATGTGGACACCTTCGGAGCCCTCGCCTTCATCGGGCCTCTTCAAGCTGGAACGACCGATGAGGGTCCACTCATCAGCATGCTGAAACGTGCTTTGGGCTCAGCTCCGGACGACGGGCTTCTGAGCATTGCTCGCGCAAGGTCGAGCGCACAGATGCTTCTGAACCTGTTCGGATGCCTTTGGCCGAGCGCACACAACGCCTGGCCGCTCTTCAGAAGAGACTTGTGGGCATTCACTGGACATCCGACATTGAGCCTTCCCATAAGCTGCAAGACTTGGTTGCTCAGATGGTTTCTGATCAGTCCTTGCTTTGGATTCCGTGGGATCGCCTCACGAGCCGAGCTTTGGAAATCACATCCGACAAAACCGATCAATCGGTCAGCTTCGACAGCGCCGGGAACCTCAAGCTCGTGAAACGCTCAGCTGAGCCCTCCTGCAGTACCATAGGCGAATACGCCGTTAAACTGGCACTTCAGCGGAGGAGTTTGGCTTTCGAATTGGCCCGAATCTGCCGTTACGAGTACCTCGAATCTTGGCATGATCAGTTGCTGCAGGTGCACATGCGTACCCAGCCATCCGGCCATCAGCGAGTTTCGATTGCTCAGCTTCGTGAAGCCGACAAGTTCCTGTGGACGAGGATCGCCGAGGACACGCGTGGCTCACTGTCCATGCGCTCAGACGGCTCGTACCCTTTTGAGGTCTCGCTTGCAAAGTGGAAGGATCACACGCAGGTTCAGTGCTACCTGCTTCCGCTGATGCGATCTGTGCCTCCGCCCCCAGCTCCGCATGTGCCCAACAGCCCGCCCAGCAAGGACGGAAAAGGGGGCGGCAAGGACAAAAATCAGAAAGCCCTGAAGGTTCGCAAGGACACTCCCGGCGCGGAGAAACCCAGTGACTCAGGAGCCAAGAAGTGGTCCGTCCCGCAGGGTTGCCACTCTCAGGATTCGGCTGGAAAGCCGCTGTGTTTCAGCTTTAACACCAAGGGCTGCGGGTTCGCCAAACCCGGTAAGCGCTGTCGCCGAGGCCGCCACCTGTGCTGGAAGTGTTTGGAGCCGCATCCGGCCTCTGAGTGCCCAGAGTTTCAGTGACCAGATTCTGAAGCTGCCGGCGTGATGACTCCTTCATTCAGGGATGACGAGACCGGTGGCAAGCGTCTTTCGGCTGAGGAGTTGGCCGACCGGCTCCTTGCTCAGCCCACTGTTACTTCGGATGATCTTTTTCGTCTTAGTTTGGCATTGCCTTCTGAAATCCCTTCCCGAGGAACCGGTTCCGGAGGGCGCTCTGTTAGTTTGGGGGCCTTTGCTTTTTCAGGATCGCAGTGCTTGCAGGTACGTGACACCAGCAAGCAGTACCCCTTGAGTACCAAAGTTTTTGCAAGATTCGTACATCAGCTTGACAAGGATTTTACTTGCACAACCATTGCCGTCTTCACAAATCTTCGAACACAGCTTCACCAAGATACCGCCAACGATTCGAGAAGCCGCAACCTTCTTTATCCGCTGTCAAAATTTTCTGCCGGAGATGTCTGGATCGAGTCTCCCCAGGGAAAGGTTCCTTTCGAACACCAGGGCGAGATTCTCTGGGGAGATTCACTGCCGGTGTCCCAGGGGCTTTGCTATCTTGATGCGCCCAACCGCCGACACGCCACTTTGGCCTGGCAGGGCGAGCGCAGTGTTCTGGTGGGCTACACGGCCCGAGGAGCCGATTGCATGCCTCAGGAGACGCGAACTTTCCTTGAGGACCTAGAATTTCCCTTGCCCCCCGCGGGTCCAAGGCCCATCCCTAAGACTAATCCCGAGCCCGTTAAGCCCCCCCTTGCTGTCGCCGACTCCTGCAAGCCTCTCTTCGTCGAGATCTTCGCAGGCTGCGCACGGCTTTCCAAGCATTGCCAGTTGACTCTCCTTGGAACCGTCACGTACCTGAACATCCGCTTCTTATGCTGGACCTTACGGAAACCACGTGTCAAAAACAGCTCCTGGACAGGCTCTTGTTGCATCCACCCTTTGCCATTCACATTGCCTTGCCCTGTGGCACGGGTAGCCGAGCCCGAGAAAGGCCCATCAGCAAGAAGGCGAGATTGGCAGGTGCTCCTGAACCTGTCCCGTTGAGGGATAACGATCACATTCTGGGCCTCCCCAACCTGTCGGACTCCGACAAAGCAAGGGTTCGCAAGGCTAACGAATTGTGTCGTTTCGTTGTGGAGCTCGTTAGGGCCCTACCTTCATCCACCTTTTTAAGCATCGAGAACCCCAATAATTCCTGGATTTGGGGAGTGCTTGCGTACTTCGTGCAACAATCTCGAGACCCTGCCCTACTTGAGAGGTGGCGCCGCATGATAGATGTGCGCTTCCACAATTGCATGAAAGGCGGTCGCAGACCCAAGCACAGTCGCTTTCGGTGCAGTGATTCTCGCTTGTCTAGCATGGCTGTAGAGTGCGACAATCAGCATCAACATGATCCCTACCTGGTCTATCAGACCGGCCGACAGTGGAGGTTCAGTACCGCTGAAGAGGCGGAATATCCGCCTCAACTGTGCCAGGAGGTGTCGCAACTGCTGGCCGCGACAGCCGGTTTGCCATCCTGCTTGGAACCGCCGGCAGGTCCACGCGCTGTCTGGCCCCAGCCACGTGGGAGCCACAAGCTAATCCCGGAGTTCCTCGAGTTTCGCACCGAGGCTCCCCTAGATAGGCCCTTTAAGGAGTTTACCTCGGGTTTAGGGGGTGGTTCCGGGAGGTTCGGGGTGTACAGAACGCCTACCGAGTTCATCGATTGTGCCCTAAAGCTCAGCCATCCCTTTGACACTCAGCACTGTGTCCCAGATGCCGTCAAAAGGAACATCTTCCGACGGCTGACCGAAGGACCGTCTGCTTTTGCTGAAGAGAGGCTCAGACTTTACAACAGGCTCAACCAGATGGAGAAAGAACTTCGCTACGAGGAGGCGCGACTGCATTCTACCCTGCCTGACCACACTCGCGAAGTCATCAAGGGAAAGAACCTTCTGCTATGGGCACAATTGCTGAAGGAGACCAAATTTCCTGATGAAGGAGTCTTCGACTTGATGATAGGCGTCGATCTGGTGGGCAAGCCACACAAATCAACCTTTCTTTGAAACCAAGGAATCGCCGGCTACATCCACACCTGAGCTTCTCCTTGAATCAGCTCGCTGGCGCAGAGAGAGGCTCAAGGGCCGTGATCCGCACGAGAAAGATCCAGAGGCGACCTGGCAACTCTGGGATTGCACTCTAAAGGACCGGGACGACGGCTTTCTCACAGGGCCGTTCTACGATGAGGAAGAAGTGAAAAAGCACCTTGGAGTGGAGGAGTTCGTCTGTTCGAGAAGGTTCGTCATCGAGCAGGGCACGCCAGAGAGGCCCAAACTTCGACCGATCGACAACTACAAGGAGGGCGGGGTCAACGAAGCTTACCATAGCCTCGAAAAGCTCGCCTTGTTCGATGTCAATTGGATGACGGCGATGGCAACTTACATCGCGCGGGTCTCGGATGGAACCGGTGCTTTGGAAATTGTTCTCAGCACGGGAGAAATTCTACGCGGAGAGCTGCACTCTTCTTGGAAGGCCAAGAAGCCCGTCTGGCAGGGGCGAACGCTGGATTTGGAAAAGGCGTATCGTCAAGTTCCACTTTCAACGGAGTCGCTGCGACTGGGGGTCGTCATGGTCACGGACCCTAACAGCGGCAAGCCTTGCTACTTCGTAGCTCAGAGCCTGCCCTTCGGTGCATCATCGTCTGTGTTTGCTTTCAACAGGCTGTCGAGATCGATCTTGCATCTGAGCTGGAACTTGATTGGCATGATCTCAGGATGCTTCTACGACGACTTCCCGCTTCTTGAAATCCAATCTTCCGCGAAGCTTGTTTCTGAATCGTTCGAACACCTGCTGAGGAAGATCGGGTGGAGGTATTCCAACGACCCGGCCAAAACCTCGCCTTTCAATGAGAGCTTCGACCTACTTGGAATCCGTCTTAATGCAGGCGACATCTCCAATGGCGTCGTGGTGCTCCAAAACAAGGCATCAAGGCTGGAGAAGATGAAAGATACTTTCATCCGCATGGCGTTGAATGGTGAATGGGATCTGCGGCAGATTCAGTCGCTGCAAGGGCAAGTGAACTTCGCTTTGGGCTTTGCTTCGGGAAGGGCAATGAAGATGCTGCAGCGTGCACTTGGAAGCTTCATCAGGAATCCTGAAGATCGCAGCGCGAGTGAGTTCAGGACACTTTGCGAGTTCGGGATCCGCTTGATCGACGAGTGCAAACCGAGAGTCTTCGCCTGCCGAGGGCCAGAACAACCGGTGTTGATCTTCACTGATGCAGCTTACGAAAAAGGTGTCGCCACATACGGCGTGGTGGTCCTGGATCCATTCACTTCTTCTAAGCTGGTGGCCGGAGGTCGCATCCCGAAGACTTTGGTGGAATTCTGGAAGCTCGACAGTCCTGAACAGGTGATTGCTCAGGCCGAAGCTTTCGCCGTGGTCCTCGCAAGAGAAGCTTTCAGAAATTTCATACACGGCAGACGAACCATTTACTTCATCGACAACGAGGGCGCGAGAGAAGTCTTGATTAAAGGAGCGAGCAAGTCACGCACGCTTCTGCTTTTGGGATCGCGCTTCTTCGAGATGGAAAACTTGGATCAAAGCTTGACGTGGCTAGAAAGGGTTCCGTCTGCCAGCAACGTGGCAGACGGGCCGAGTCGTGGTGAGATCGCCGAGACGGCGAAGGTCATTGGTGGCACGATCGTTGATCTGCAGGAGAAGGCGGAAATTCTAGGAGAGTTGTGCAAATCGACTGTACAGATACCTTGGAAGCTGCTCAAGTAAGACCGGTCACTTTTAAAGGGGGTTATGCGTGTTGGGGCAGAATCGGTATCATGCACAATTGAGCGATTGCGAATCCTACCGCATATTTGCTCGTGCCTCAACCGAAACCCGAAACCTGTGGTCTGTGCCACATTCGAAGTTTCAGACTCGCCCTACCGTGTGAGACCCCCGACGGAAAAAAGACCGAGTCCGAGTGAGCGAGTTCTTCTGAGGAATTTTTATATATATTATAGATTGCGATTCTCAAATACAGATTGATTGAATGCGCATTTTGTCACGATAAATCAGATCATTGTGAAAACAGAAAGACGGCGATTTCGCGGAGCGACTAAGTTGTCTTTTCTGTTTTCATAGCTGCCGGTCTAGCAGCGCAATGATTAATTATTTATCGTTTGTTATTGAATGTTTGAAGTGAGCTTTTGACTCACAACCATTTCCACAACGTTTCTTTGAAACCAATTTTGACATCAACTACAACTTCACTCAAACAACATGCTTTCTGACTACGCCTGTTGATTGAAGTTGAACCATATGTCGGTACCCGCGCCGCTCAACACAGCATGGCTCAGTGCACACATGCAGTCGAGTGACCATTGAGTCAACATCAGCATATACTGTGCAGAGCTTTGCTAAAATTTTCACCCGCCCTCCCGCCCTTGAGGGCTTTCGCCCGATGTAAGGTGGGGGGGTTATGCGTGTTGGGGCAGAATCGGTATCATGCACAATTGAGCGATTGCGAATCCTACCGCATATTTGCTCGTGCCTCAACCGAAACCCGAAACCTGTGGTCTGTGCCACATTCGAAGTTTCAGACTCGCCCTACCGTGTGAGACCCCCGACGGAAAAAAGACCGAGTCCGAGTGAGCGAGTTCTTCTGAGGAATTTTTATATATATTATAGATTGCGATTCTCAAATACAGATTGATTGAATGCGCATTTTGTCACGATGCATCACTTCACGCGTGCGTGTCGATGTTTTATAGATCCTAGGTCAAACGAAATTTTGTAAGCAACAAAATTTTGGGCCATGACAATCTTTGCGCTACTCTTAGTAGTGTTTCACAATCCAGACTTTTAACAACTTTCAACGCTGTTGCATGATTTCGTTTCTCATGGGGGGGGGCCTATGAAGGGAGTCCGTAGCCATTTTGGCTCAAGCTGTCTCGAGATCGAGCCAGAATTTTTGATTTGAGGGCTCTCTAGAGGCTTGTAATTCCGTCTAACAGGCCTGAGCCCTCCGTAACTCGGTGTTGCTCTTAGAGCACCGTGCAAGAGCCCCGCCGGGGGCTCGGATGGATCCGAGCTCGACCCTTGCGGCCGAGTCGTCTTCCAGCGACACTCAAGAGGCCATTTCGGCCCACCTGCACGCAGTTCAGCTTCAAGTTAATTCCCTTGAACAGCAGCTTGCCTTGCTGCGATCAGAACTGCAGGAAGTTCGCCAACAGCTTGTGAACCTTGAGGCCGAAAGATACCAGCACTCCCTTCGCTTGGGGTGGCTGGAGCAACTTGTGCAGCGCGTTTCACGCGCTTTCCGCTTTGAGTGATTGTGCCTGCACTGGGGTACTTCGGGGCTGTAGTAGAATGGGGGATGATGAGAACAGCTCCCTCCCTTCCAGTTACGGGCTTCACCTGAGGTCGTGCCTGCGAGACTCGAGGTCTATTTGGAAGACCCCTTGGAACAATGCACTCGTAGCTTTTGACCCTAGGCCCCGCTTGCCGCCTCCTCTTGGACCTCTCCCCCTTGTAGTCCCTATGAACCCTTCTGCCGATCAGCCTGCCGTGCCGAACCCTCGCTTCGTCAGGTCGGAAGGGCTTGAGCAAGTGTGTGCTAAAATGGCCAAGTTCAAACATACTTCTTGGGAGGTTATGATCAATGAGGAGAGAAATCTTGCCGTGAATAAGTGGCTCAGCCTTGTCATGGTCGAGCCCTTGACCTTCGGTGTAGCTAGGAACTTCTACGCCGGCAAAGCGTCAGGTATCTCTTCAGGATCGCTTGCAGACAGCATTTCGGATTGCCTTGCTGCCAAGGCTACTTCGACGATCAATGTCAGGGCGAATTGCTTGTTGCGGTTTGTTTCTTGGGCAAAGGGGAACATGCCGTTTGTTTTTCCCTTGACCGAGCATGCTGTCTACGCATACTTCGAGGAGAAGAAATCCACAGCAGCGGCAACTTCGTTCAGGAGCCTTCTCTCTTCGGTTGCTTTCGCTCAGCATGTGGTAGGCCTGGAAGGGTGTGACAAGGTTTACACTTCGGGTCGTGTCCGCGGCCTTGCGTCGAAGCTTTACATGCAGAAGAGGAAGCTCAAGCAACGGAATCCTCTGAGGGTCTCCGATGTCATTCTTCTTGAAAGGATTTGTTGCAAGCTTGAAGACAGGTCTTTGCAGGACCGTGTCGCTGCAGGCTTCTTTCTTTTCTTGATTTATGCAAGAGCTCGATACAGTGACGGGCAAAATGTGGCATCGCTTACTGATTCGCCGCTCTACCTGGAATGCAGTGTGGGCAGGTCCAAGACTAGTTTCACTTTGGAACGCAAGACCAGGTACTTGCCAATGGCTGCCAGGAAAGTGGGCATCAAGTGTGCATGGGCCGATGCGTGGCTTGAGGCTTTGGCAGAGGCGGGTCTTGCGATCAAGCCGAACGACCCGTTGCTTCCCTGCCCTTCTTCGAATGGTTCGTGGAAGATGATCCCGCTTCCGTGCGATCAGGCTTGCTCGTGGCTCAGGAGCCTGCTAGGGAACGCTCAGAGCGATCCCTACCTTGCAAATGTGGGGACACATAGCCTTAAGAGGACTCTGCTGAGCTGGGCAAGCAAGCGTGGTCTGCCCCGAGAACAGAGGGCCCTCCTGGGGTATCATACGTCCCGAGCCTCGGGTGCGGGGTCAGAACTGATCTATGAGTCCGACGCCCAGTCGGCTCCGCTCAGGGCTTTGTCATCTATGATCGACGAGGTGTCATCGGGGGCCTTCAAGCCCGACAAACCAAGGGGGCAGCAGCTTGCTTCCGAGCTGTCGGCGCATGCCGATCCCCCTGGCGACGAGATCGAGTCATCAGACTCGGAGGGCTCCGAGGACGAGGAGGAGATCGACCACTCGGGCGATGAGGCTTGTGTTGCCGAGGCTTTGGACTGGCATGGGAAGGTCGACCTTGACAAGATTGATCCCTCGTGTGTTTTCTTCCGGCATCGCCAATCCAGGGTAGTGCACATCACTGCCGACGAAGCCGGTGCCAACCTAGGCTGCGGTAGGACCATTTCGGGTCAGTACAGGAAGCTGGAGGCGCGACCCGCAGTTTTGCATCCAAGGTGCAAGCAGTGCTTCAGGAGATACCTGGTTGTGCAGCAGGGCACATGACTCTGCATCCAGCTCGTGCCTGCAATTTTGTGCAAAAGGGTGATGTCGTGCACGTGCGCTCCACAAGCCGGTCAAGTGTTGACATTTGTGCTATCGTGCAAGAGCAGCGATCTGCTGGATGTCGTGTCCTGCAAGATGAGTGATTTGATGAAGAGCAAAGCCCTCCTGCAGCTGCTTTTAGCTCGTAGTGGTCCAAGCAACACACCATGGCGGCCTTCTCCGAGTCGGGGCCAGTGTTCAAATCACGATGTGCCCAGGTCGGTTTGGCATCTGCGGATGTCGAAAAACTCGAGAAGGTGGGTGTGGATTCACTCGCAAAGGTCGCTTTCATGACGAGCTACACGCCGGGCTCTGGCGATGACAAGGACCTCATTGCGGCGTTCGAGTCGGCCCTCGGGACGCCGCCCTCTGTAGGGCAGAAAAGCTCCTTCCGAAGGTTATTTCATGAAGCATATGCTGTTACCACTTCGGAAATGAAGATGCTTGTGGAGCGGACGGATGAATCCATCCCAAGAAAATTGAGCGTCCCGGAGAGATCTGAGAGGTTCGAGGTAGTGAGCAAACGCCTTGTGGGCCTTTCGATCAAGAACCGTCTTGAGCCTGCCGATAGCCTCGTCGACTCCTTCGTGTCCCAGTATGAACAGGACAAGCTGCAGTTTGTCCCGTGGGAGAAGCTTGTTTCCAAAGAACAAGAGGCCTCGACAGGGGCAAAGCGAGAGCCTTTCTTCTCGCTGGACAGTACGGGCAAGCTCAGGTCGGAGACAAAAGTTGAGGTCCGTGCCGATACGAGCACGGAGCTGCTCTTGCAGCTCGCGCTTCAGAGGCGCGGCATCGCTATGGAGATGGCGAACATCCTTGACTACCATCGTCACCACATGTGGGTTGAGCGCCTTCTTGCGGCGCGCCTCGACGCACCTCCGTCGACGCACATGCAGCCCACGCTTGATCAGTGTCAGCAGGCTGACAGGAAGCTTTGGCAGCTTCTCGGAGAAGCGACTCGCTCGGGCATCCAGCTCAAAGCTGGGGGGCGTCCATTGGACGCCATCTTCGAAGACACATGGCAGTCACCAGAGGTGCTTCACTTGCTTCAGCCGATGCCTCGGGCAGCAGGCGCTTCAGTCACGCAGCAGGTGGCACCGCCGCCGAGGCCGCACGGGCCGGGCCCGTATGATCGCCCGGGCAAAGGCCGAAAGGGCACAGGGAAGGGTGCCAAGGGCACCAAAGGATCCGGGAAGGTTCCCGCCGCTCTGGCGGGCTGCAGATCATGCACCAATGCTGGTGAAAACATATGTTTTGGGTATGGACTCAAAACGTGCAGGGAAACCGTGACTCGTGGTCGATGCGTGCGTGGCCTGCACATTTGCGCATGGCCCAAGTGCGGCAAGTCGCACCCTGCATTGGATTGTCCGCTGCGTGCTGAGGCTCTAGGCCAAAAGCAGGAGTGACAGTCGGAAAGCGAGCCCTGCAGCTCGCAGCACTCGACTCAGAGTCGGGATTGCCCAGGCTTGGCTGGGCACAGTTTTGCATCGCCGCAGGCCTTCCCTGCGCCGACAGATTCTCCTTTAGTGCATCTTGATCCGTGTCAGCAGAGTGCTAGTGTGGATACAAGAAAATTTTCTTCACTTTTGCAATTGCTTCAGAATGCTGCG